AAGATTCTTTTCATGAGTTACCCAGTTACCTGTATGCTGATTCTGCATACCATTGACCCACTCAGCCATTTGGCATCGCCTGCACCACCAGCCATCCCTCGACAAGCCTGCAGCAATCCAATGGAACAACCTCCAGCAGAGTTAGTTCCTCGCGTGTGGAAATCTGTCCGTGGGGTCCCCAATCAATGCGTTGTCACCGGAGTTCAACACACTGAATACGTTTCATGTCTTCAAGAATTCCTTCGCTGGAAGAAAATAGACACATCTATCCAGTATACTTATCATTGGGTTTTCAAGGAGTGTGCTACAAAACAAACAGATTGTTTGTAGAAAACTTGCAGGTGGCAGGATACAGCTCTTCAATGTCGTTAGGATTCAAATGGTAGACTTGCCCACGCAACAAATGAGACAATCTTAACATTTAATGTATATATGATTGATGTTAACAAGGTTAGAGGTCTTAACTATATGAACAGCCTTCAATCTTCTCATTTAGAAAGTGTTTTTTATTTTGGACTGCGCTTTGATTTCCTGAGGCCCTGGAACCAAAATTAGTTGGAAAGAGGAGCAGGTAGCAGCTTGGCTGGGACGCTATGTTTTCAGGTGGATTCTTGACCCCCGGTTTTTGATATATAAATCATTGGGGTGTATCTGCAAATGGCCTGGTGTTGAATTTATCACCTATCTGTTTCCGAAAGAAATGTCAAACACACCATGCAGCAGTCTCACATATCGGCTGATCCAATCCAATGTAAAGTAAGGTCTCTGTGGCCAGAGCCATAGTGGCTAGCTTACCGTTGTCCACAGTGAACTTGCTGCAGTCCGACGAGTGGAAGGGCGGCCCTTTGTTAACCCTTCCGGAGTCAAAGGGGGTAAGGACGCCTACATCGAAGGAGATCTCTGGCAACTATTGGTTTGTCAAACCGGTGGTTCAAGCTATGCCACGAAAGGTCAAGGGTTCAAAACTAAAAAATAAACTCAAACTCGTACAGGCGTACAAGGTTACAAGGTTCAGAATTTACAAGGAACAAGTTCCAAGGTTTAGCATGTTTTAACAAGCTCACTCAGGGCTATCCTGCAGGTCCCCAGCGCTTACTTCATGACTGACGTTTTCATCGAATTCGATCGTCAACTTGGTCGCAAGGTGTTCAGACCAGACCGCAGCAAGGATGAGAGTAAGATGTCTTTAGCTTCCAACGAAGGTGTGATCATGAAGAAGTTGGTTGGGTCACTCCGGGCTTTGTGGCGCTCTAGCAAAAACAGAGGCTTTGATGACAAAGTGACCGAGCTGAAGTCCTATCTCTTGCCCAGCCCATGCAAAGATGATGATGATTCTGACGGCCCATCACCAAGGTCGCCTTCAGGCTCCGACAATGAGGGAGAAGAGGGGGTTGATTCTGATGGTGAGGGAGAAGAGATGGTAGAAGGTTGGGAAGAGGATGAGAAAGAAGCTGGGTCAGGAGCAACTGTGTCTGACTCTGATTCATGCCCCGAAGTCGTGGAGAATCAAGCTGATGATGAGTCAGATACTCCGATGTCAGATGAAGTGTCAAACCACCAGCCGCTTGCTGATGAATCCTCTGATTCAAAGCTGTTGCGGGCTCGCACTTTGGAGCTGGGAGAAGAGCCTTCTGAGTCTTCCGACTCTGAGGATTCCATGCACCGATGTGGCCAGGTCTCGTCGGGGTGGATGGGCCGTGCAATTGCAGCAGGAAACAAAATGGACCGTGAGAGAAAGGAGAAGGAAGCAGCAGAGGAAGCTGAGAGGTCAAAGAAGGAAAAGATTGACATGCTGATGGATGAGATTCGCAAAGACTTGGAAAAGGAGATGGACTGCGAGTTGAAGGGCACGGAGATGTGGGTGGGGTATGCAGATTGGTGCCGGCATGCTTTCAACACCTATGGTGACAATGTCTATGATCACCTTGCTACGGTGGAGAACTATCAGTCGTTTGTCCGTCACTTCAAGTCTCAGGACATTAGGGCTTGCATTTTTGAATCTTCACATGAAAGGTTGGTAAATCTTGACCACCATTTGAATCTTCATTTGAATCGTCATTTGAATCAACCTGGGTGACATGGTCTTGAACCCAATCTTTGAATCTTCAGATAAAGGGGTTGGTGAATCTTCACAACCATTTGAATCTTCATTTGAATCTGTTTGATCATTTTGCGCAACCTGGGTGATATGGCCTTGAATATGAGAATGAACATTTGAATCTTCACAACCGTTTCCCTCCACCATTTTTTCCTGTCCTTGTCTGCAGGACAGCTCTGAAGGTGCCAGTGCTACGGTCAAGGTGCCTCCAAATTGGGCGGCATTTCGTGCAGTCACTCACCATGGAAGCCTCTTCTGTTGTTGGAAAGATCAAACGTTTAGGGTTGTAAGTTGCAAGGTTCATGTAACTCATGTGGTTTAGAGGTATCACCAAACAAGTAATGATGTTCAATCTGAAAAATCAATTACCTGATGCCTCTTCTGTTGCTGGAAAGATCAAACCTTGAGGCTTGTAAGTTGCAAGGTTCATGTTTGCACAACTGTAAACAAAGAACGGTGTTCAATTCATGTGTTTTAGAGATATATCACCAAACAACCGATGATGTTCAATCTGATAAATCTATACAGGACTTAAGATGATCACCAACAGAAAGCGGGGGAAAAACGGGCGCGTTCACTTGTTTAAATTTATGGGATACAGCATAGAAACATATAGTGGAAGGGCAAACCAAGGCATTTAGGCATCCAAACTTGTTGGATTGGAGATGATCTTAGAAACAGCAAGTGCAATCATGCATGCCAACAAAGCTGATCGATTTCCCAAACCTTCGGGGTTTTAATTCTACCATCCAAGAAAATCCATGATGAATTAGACCTTGTAGTTTTGGCACCTGCAATTCCAACATGCAGTCATGCAGGTCAAGAAGACTCCCCTCAACAATGCCCTGACCATGATGAACCTCAAGCAGACCCTTGATGAGGACGCACCGGGATCCACGGAGACCCCATGCTGCAAGAAACCTCGCCTTGCAGACAAAGCCGAGCGGTCTTTGTCCCTGTCGCCGCCAGCAGTGGTAGGTCCACAAACCGTACCCTGACTAAAAGACAATACTTAGGCCCCCTAAGCTCTATATTCATCCTTTAAAGAAGAAATTTTGGGTGCCTAGTCTGAAACATTCCTATGTGCTAGATGGTTCTAAAGGGTCTACAAAAAAGGTATGTGTTTGGATGTTCTTCATTATATTATAGGATTTCTCCATTTTTACCTTCCTGCATCCGAGGCGAAGAAAATGGCCGAAGTCAAGCAGCGGGACCGGGAATCTGATGCAGCGACATGTGGTTCCACCCCTGGGGAGATCATGAACAGTTTCCATGGTTACGACCTGGTTGAGATGAATATTCCTGAGGGTGCGCGCCCCCGTGTTGGTGGCACTTACTTGGGAAAGCATGGGTATACCCTGAAGAACACCCGCGGAGCAGCTACCTGGTTTTGTTTCAGCAGCGGCTACCACATGTATAGCCTTTTAGAAGTTTATTGAAACTAAACGCCACTTTAGAAGACTTCGCAGTGAAAAGGGATGTGTGTGAATCATTTGATAATCGCGGGGCCCTTCTATCAACTGCAGAAAACAGCTCTAACCCTTCATGAACAACCCAAGCAGGCGATATACGTACCCTGTCAATGTCTCCGGCCTCTCTGTGAGGTTGTGGAGGTCTTGCTGAAGACCCGAGCCTACGTGGTGAAGAAAGGGGTCCATCCCGGCCAAATTTCTTGGGGCAAGAACGGAGGAGCTGAAGGTGCTTGGAAAGTTGCCCTGGAAAGATCAGGGTGGTAAATTGTGTTTCACATTTTGGCATTTTGGATATTTATATCATGAATGGTCTCCCATCATAGATGCGTGTTGAATTGTTTGGAGGGAAAGTGACACTGTCCGTCGTCCTTCTTAGGCACATTGGAGTGAAGGATGTCTCAAGTGTCTAGGGGTTTGCATGTGCCAATCACATGCAATCTATAGTTGCTCAACGCTGCATGAGACCATGGTAGGATGGAAGGTTGATCTTTGCCTGCGCTTGAAAATGAAAGCTCTGGTGGTTGCCTCATTTTGTTTTGGTTGGTAGGGTTTGTGCCCAAAGAGAATCTTTTTTGGTAATACCATGCAATACAATGCCAATTTCAGGTAGTTATGCCAATCCCATTGGGCGATCTCAAGCACCATCAACTTGTTTCTGTTTGTCATGTGTCCAAAGTTTGACGTCCTTGGTGGTTATATGCCAAACGCATTTGAAAAAGGAACCTGATTCTTACGTGGTTATGTATCCAAAACATTTCAAAGAAACACATACATGGCTCTTTTTGGGAACTATACTTCTAGACCAGTCCAAATCCAACAGAAGAGGATGGTTCTTTCCCGAAACAACTATTTGGGAATGTTACGTTCTAGTTATAATGGGTATGGATCCTCCACACTAGCGAGCCCATCTCCAACCATCTCCAACCTTCTACTGCTTCCTTTTTGCAGGTACTGAAAGCGTTGCCACTCCTGGATGCCACTGCAGGAGGACTCTGGTGGGATAACATGCAGGTTGCAATGTTGGGAAAATGGATCAAAATTTGGAATCCACCCTGCATTTGTGTTTTCAGAAGTTTCGGGGGAAGAGCATGCATATATTTTTTCACAAAACAAAAATCAATAGGTCTCAAATGTATTCCCAAGAACCCCAGCTATATATGTATATATCTACAACATTTCCAATGCCATGCCATCAAATGAGTACCAACACTTCTTTTGCAAAACGCACCGACCCCAGCATTTTTGTGGCTCAGTGATTCGGGGAACCCCTTTTCCTTGCCATGGGGAAACCTACCATGACTTGTACAGGGAAGCGGTCTTTGCGTAAGATCAGAATGCCCTTTCAATGCAGCCACGACCATGAGCCCAGTCGCCTTCCACGGAACATGAAGGCTAAGCAAAGGAGTTGGATCATCAGTGGCCTCCGGAGCATGGGGGCCCCTGTTGTACTTTGACCATGCAATAGCCTGAACATACGATCGTTTCACAGTAAGTTGTCTTGGCCACATGATCCAAGAAGAACATATTTTATAGTTGGGGACGTGATTAGAATAAAGGTAGTGATACCACATAAAAAGGTTCTTGGCCACATTATCCAAGAAGAACATCTTATATAGGTGGGGGCTAGAGGTATGGCAGTGATACCTGTGGCCATGCTATCCAATAAGAACATATTGTATAGGTGAAGCTATGGCAATGGTGGTGATAATTACCGTGAAAAGGGCTCTTGGCCACACATACCAGGAAAAACACATTTTTAAGCTGGGCACTGTAGGAATGGTAGTGGTGATGCCAAAAAAAGGGCTCCGCTCCAACTAAGGCAATTGCCACGCTTGTGACATTGCTCTTTGCAGTGCCAGGCCTTGATTGGTCAAGCCCAGGTGATCACTTGGAGTGTTTCAGTGGCCAAATGGAGGTTACAAAAGCCGAATGGGCAGTGGCTTAGCTTGTATTCAAACGGGGATTAAAACCATTTGTTTTACATGGCCCAAGTCTGCAAAATAGCCACGGTCTATGGAATGGCATGGTATTAGTTTCCTCTTGGTTGAGAGTGTCAAGTCAGAAAGTTTTCTACCTGTCCAACTTACTGGGTCCTCATCTGTTCCCGAGCCTTGATTAAAGCAGTGGTTTCTTTGCCACTCTTGAAATCCGGTTCATCAACAAAAGGCTATTCAACACGAGCTCATCGCATGACATTTGCAGTCCAGTTTAACTTCACAGGTTTATGCCTGATGGTAGTGGTTTTATAATGTTTTATATGGGTAAAGGAAACCAAATATTCGATTGGCTCTGCTAAGGCTGGCCGATCAGCCATGCCATTTGATGTGGAGCTCTCTTCAGAGATGGACCTCTTGACACCATCGGGGTTTGCAAACGCACTGTTTTATGCTTGCAATTTGAAGCCTGGCAGTGGCCACATGACTGCTCCAGTTTGTTCAACCTTTGTGTTTATGCCCCTTGATTGCAAGTAGCTAAACAACCCAAAGTATTTGTTCTACTTGGAATCTGGGGAAAAATCGGCACACAGGGCTTCCAACAAACCATGCACACTGTGCCCTGTGCCTTTGTCCAAGGAGTAGAGGTTCGACGTTGAGAAGCAGGACACGACCTCTTGGCCGAAGCGATTCCCAGGCGGTGAGAGATGGCAATGTGCTAGCAGCACGTGCTTTCATACTGTGTTTGGTATGTGCAGCAAAGTTTGTTTGGTGGCTGCTGGAGCAACCAGGCTCCAGTTGCATGGAATTGCACCCCTTGTTCCAACACATGTTGAAGATGCTGACGATCCACAAGTTGGGAATCAACATGTCGGACTTTGGAGCCCCAACAACCAAGAGAACATTGCTTTACAGCAGCCTCTTGAATGATTCTAGTTTCACAAAGTTGAGTCTGAGTAATTACCCTCCTATGAGTATACATCCACAAGTGTGGAATCAGTTCACAAAGTTTATTTATTTGGGTTTCAAAATGATAAAAGCATAATACCACGCATTCAAACAGATCTATAAAAAATATAAAACACCAAGTATCAGGCATCAGCCTGCCAGCTCACTAAGGTCACCGCGAGGTGGAAAATCTGCTCGAGTACAAGGTCGAACCTCAATTGCAGGATCGTGAGATGGTGGTTTCCTACACGAACCACAAAGGGGAACGGCGAATCCATGGTGGACGCGATTTGAAAGGAAGCCAAGCCTACCCAAAGCAGTTTCCAGGCAATTTGTTCTGATGTTTGCGTCAAACCTTTTACCACTCTGATAAGAAATTGGTTTTCACATACTAAACTACTGGAATCTCAATAGCCAAATGTCTGATAGGGTATCCCACATATTTCCCATGCCCACATGTTCCCAAGAGCATGAAGCCATCAGTTGGGATATCATCCAAGTCTGTGCCAAGGTTTGGTTCTGCTCTTTGCAAAGTTCGAACCCAGTTTCTTAGCAAGCATCGTCGTGCTGCTAAACAAAAGCTGAGGGAGGCTAGGAAATCCACCAAACAGTTGGATGTCAGACCCAGGATCAACAAAGCTTGGGTCACCGGCGCAGATCTCCAATCTGTGTTTGATTTCCTTTCTGCTCAGCCGTAACCTGGCCACGAGCATTGGATGCAGCTTTAAATTTGTAATTCTACAATCTTGCGGTTGGAGGTTGGCTAATGGATCAAAATGAAACTTGAAAGCCATTCTCCATTTAACTGCAGGAACAAACATAGCAGTTCTCTCACCCTGGGGGCTCGATCGATGGGTGAAAAAAGTAAATTCAGTCACCATGCTTGCAGTGCATTTACATAGAATGAGTTCAAGTTTGAAATAGGTTCCATGGAATGTTTCCTCATTTACCTAGGGAATGTTTCCTCATTTACCTAGTGGAGAAGCCTGAGCCCACATAGAATCAGTTCAATCCTGAAATGGAATCCATCAAATGTAGCCTCATTTAACCCCCATGGTTCCTCCAAGTTCCTCCAAAAGCCTTACAAGCCACGATTGCAGGACACATGCGTGCCTTGAAGCGGCAGTTTGGTACTTCCAGCCTGTTTTGCAGATTGAGGCAGATTGAATTGGGGATCCAAGACAAACTGGGGCTCAAAAGCATTTATTTTGGAAAGTTTGGGTCAGGACCTGTCCCGGCAGAAAAAAATCATCACAAAATTGTATCAAAACACTAGTGCGATTTGCATCGAAACTAGTGCGCATATCATCGAAAACGTGCGCATTGTAGAATTGATCAAATTTTATCAGATTTCTTTCATGGGGGGATACAAAAAACAAACCCACGACATTGAGCAACCGTGCGAATTGGAGCCATTTTGGGTCAGGGATTTGTGCACCTACCTACTGGTGGTGGGTAGTGTCTATGATGAGGACACCCCCGAGAAAGCGTCATCGAGGGAAGTCTTCCCAATCACCCAGGTCTAGACCAAGTGCTTTGAGGAAGCCTGCTACTAAGTCAGAACCGGGGCCTTCAGAAAGGCTTCAGGCCTACTTGAAAGAGCAGAAAAACACGAAGGAGAAGACAAAAGACGTGAAGTCAGAGTCAGAGACAAAGAGGAAAGGAGAGCCACGAGGAAGTGAAGGATCAAAGGCCAAAGACAAGGCTGAGAAGAAGACAAAGGCAGGCAAAAGCAGTGAGAAGAAAGTTGCAGATGAGAAGTCAGGCAAAGATGAGGAGAAAAAAGGCAAAAGCGAGGAGGAGAAGGCAGACAGAGCTGAGGAGAAGAACCAAGGAAAAGGAAAGGAGCCGAAGGTTAGCCATGTTGAGAAGAAGAAGAAGACACCAGACAAAGGTGAGGAGAAGAAAGGCAAAGGCGAGGAGGAGAAGGCAGGCAGAGTTGAGGAGAAGAACAGAGGAAAAGAAAAGGAGCCGAAGGTCTGCGAGAAAAAGCAGAAAGACAAAGGTGAGAAGAAAGGGAAAGACGAGGGAAAGGAGTTAGAAGGTGAGGAGAAGAAGGAAGGAACCAAGCAGAAGAAGGCACTTTCAGTTGCAGGTGATGTGAACAAAGACGATAAGAAAAGGAAGAACAAGAAGGAGGCCGAAGAGAAAGCCAAGACAAAGGGCAGCACAGAGAAAAAGAAAGAACCAAAAATTGAGTATGTTCCCTGCAAGAAGCCAAAGATTGGCCACATCTTTGAGACACCAGAACAAAAGCTGAAGAAAAGTACTCCATCGGTGTCTTCTGCTGGTACAATGACATCAAAAGAGAAAGCAGAAGCTCACATGAGAAGCCTCCAAGCCATCCTAGAAGATTCCGATGATGAGGAGGATAGTTCCAGCGACATGGACTCAGCAAACAGACGCAAGGAGTTGCAAGAGCTAGTGGATGCGGCTCTCCCGAGGATCAAACCTGTCGACAGTGACGAGGAAACGACAAAGTCAGAAAAGAAAGAAGACAAGGAGGATGAGAATGAAGAAGAAGAGAAGGAAGATGAGGAGGATGACGAAGACAGCTCAGAAGATGGTTCAAGTGAAAGTTCTTGCAACGAGGATGGAGAGAAGGTAGAGGAGGAGGGAGATAAGGTAGAGGAGGGAGAGAAGGTAGAGGAGGGAGAGAAGGTAGAGGAGAAAGAGGGCAGTGAGAAGAGTCAGATGAGTGATACTGAAGGTGAGGAAGAAGAAGAGAATGAGGAGGATGATGAGGTGGAGGAGGCAGAGGTTGAAAAGCCCGAGCCCGACCCAAATGCGCATGCTTTGGTACCAGTGAGTAAGAAAACGGCACAGCAGGTCCAAAAGCTGCGCAACAGCGCCAGCAACAAGAGAGAGTGGGACTGCTTCGTCAAGCAGTTGAAGTCTCATGGCACTGCCCCCATTCACTTGAGTGAGTATGCCACCACAAACCAAAATAAGGTGGAGTTATTCAACATGTGGTTGGACTCGGGGAAGGACTGGTCAAGTTGCTCACTGATGCTTGAGAGAAAGATGGAGAGAAAGCATGAATCAGCCCGTGGCTGGTCAGCCATTCAGGGTCGTGAGTTGCGTGCCAAGTACACCGCTGAAAAATTCACTTCCCTGGTTGCTTCTAGAAAGGCATCAGGGATGTGGTACGCGGATGAGGATTTCCCCGACGATGATGATGACCCTTGATTTATTATGTATGATTTACAATTTTGTTATGTTTCAAACTCTTTGCAAACTTACTCCCCGACCTGAGCTTCAAAATGCCATCAATGGGAATCAATGGGGTTATACTTCCAGCTCTTAGCAACCTTATCCATCAACCTTTTCGGAACAGGTTCTTGTTTGGCTTCTACAGTTCCCCATCCAATTTGGGTATCACTTTTATTGACCAACCAACTGTTTCCAGCTATTCTCTCCTATACATGCCAACCGGGCCAATCCAAGGAAGCTTGGTTTTTCATGCGCATGGGCAACAGCTACAAGGAAAAAGAGTCGACATCAGAAGCCATGGCCCTCAAAGGAAAGATGGAAGTGGACGCAGGTTTGAGGGCAGCCTTGACCGACGCTGATGAAGGTCTTCTCCGGCCTGGCTGCTTGCCGAAGGTTGCCACTTCGTCTGCAGCTGGAAACAAAGCGCTCCTGAACAGTCTGGACAAGGCTTGGGAGACATCTCGTGAGATCTCGGGGTCACAGGGTTTTATAGCTGGATACCTTATCAATCCATTGGGACTTACAATCTGAGCAGGTCACTACTGGAAATTATATCGCTCTTAGATCCCAAAAGCAAAAAACCACATAAAAACCGAAAGAATCTGAGGATTGTTTTATATATTAATTCTACAACAGAATCTCAATACTATAATCCCCAATGCAAATCACCTGATCAAAATTGCTTAGAGATTGCGAGTACAACCTTGATGATCTCAAATCCAAAATGCCAATTCAAAACTTGTAGAGTTTGGGGGCAGCTTTCTGTCATGACATCCATGCAAATCATATCATCAAAACGGTCATGGTCATTAATGTCCATGCCAAGACGTTGCACCAGGTACAAGCAGCACCGAAGAAAAAACAAAGAAGGAGGAGGATAAAGCAGAGGAAATGAAGCCACAGTCTTGGGAATCCAAGGCGTCAGATTCCTTGGGTGAGCTTCTGGCAAATGCTGCCAAAGCCAGAACGATGTCAATCAAATTGAACTCAGTTGAATACGCAGGAGAGTTGTCCAAACAGCTTTTGGAACACGCTTCTCTTTTGGAGAAGTACTACCAAGAGTTGAATGAAGCCTTGCAAAAGAAATTGGGGGACGGTGTCCTCAAAAAGTTGTTGACGAAGATCGACGACGTTGAAGCCTTTGCCTCCAAAGCCCAGGCAGTGGGTGGTCAGCCGTGCTGAGCCGTCAATTGTACTTGGCTCCACTTTAGTTTGCAACTCTCACCAAGCATAATGCAGCCCACCTCTTGAAATCACAAGCGTTGAAACCCTTGAACAACAGAGGCTGATCATATTCCATTTCAATTCCGAGTTGTCTACTGTGGTTTGGATAACCTGTCCCAGAGCTTTCCCATGGGCCTCAAGCCTGTGTTTGCCTGGACAGGTTGCCGCTGCAGCTCTCCTGAAGCCTCCAGCGAAGCCGAAGACGAAGAAGGGGCAGGGTAAGAAGAAAACCAAATCCAAGTGAGTGGCAATTTGGACCAACATGTTTTGACCGTTTTCCAAAGTCATGAGATGAGCTTGCTGCGTAGGGAGTGATGTGTGTTCTGAACACATGTCCGTGCTTTGGCCAATGGCTTTTTAGAGCTACAGGTCTTCGCTTGGGTTACCACACCAAAACATAAACCATGTCAAAAAAAAAGATCCAGTTCAAAAAAGATCTATTTTGTATCTTTAAGGGAGGCCTGACTGCTGGAAGCATTAGAGCCACCATCGACTGCAGAAGCTTTTGGGGAAAACCTTGCAGTCCACAAGGGGTTTTGGATTTGCATCTTGGCATGTGGAAATGAATCCTACCAAAACATTGGCTAAAGAGGGGTTACCAAAAGAGCCACCGCAATTTCCTGATCAGCCAGGCGCCCGTGCTTTGAAGCTGGAGCCCAGGACTGATCTTGGGAAAATTCACCTCCGGTCAGCCAACTGAAGGAGATATGTAAACCATGCCCAACTGTTCCTAATCAAAATAACCCATCTCATGCATTCAGGAAGCGGAGACGGTTAGAAGATCTACCAGGGTCTGCAACAGTGAGCAAACTCGTCGAGCTAGTTGGGAGAGGAAAGTTATCTGTGACTTCTGCGTCAGACCTAGCCAACTCAATTGCAGCTTCGTTGGATTTACGCTGGTGCATCCAGTTTCAAACATTTTTTCTCAATCAAATGATTCTATTTCAGATCTTCCTTTTTAGGTTTCCATCCCCTGTTGCCCAAGGTAGAGGACCACCCAATTCCCAACAAAGCACTGCAGAGCTTTGCTGCCTTGGGGTCACACGGCAAATGTGTGGCCAATGCAGAGCGCGACCTCCACAGATGGCTGCGGGGTCTTTGGGGGTTCGAGCTCCAAGTGTATGAGATTTCAATACCCCTACAAGTCGCTGGGTTGATTACTCCCCCTCATTCCATCTATGGCCCCAACATTCACATTTCATTCCATTCCATTCCTTAGATTCCACTCCCTTCCATTGCCATGCATTACATTGCATTACATGTGTATATATATATACACATGCCTATGCCATCATACAACCAGACTCGTCACACATATACCTCTGTATCCCTGCACAACAACAAAGAAGAAGTTGTTTTTACTGGAAACAGTTCGAAATTTTAGAGTCTTCATACATGCAGGTTGTTAAAGCTTTCATTCATGAAGATATATCCCCAATTTATCCATTTCCAAGGTAACTTCACGCTGTGTGGTGGACACTCCGGTGAAGATCTGTTTGCCCCACGAGCTCCTACATTGTTTAGCGGCAACAGCAAGTCCATACATTTGGTCATCTGTTATGCTGGGTCATCTGGATGGTCAGGCCCGACGAGAGTTTTTTGAACACCTTCAATCTTTACCACCATGGGAGGATCACCCAGCATTCCATCAACAAAATGTCGACTTCGAACGTCTCATTCCTCTATGTATACATGCTGATGGAGCGCAGTTCTACCGGAATGATGAGAATTTTGTTTGGAGTATATCTTCAGCCTTCGGAGTCAAAGGTACCGTGAAGGATGTCATGCTTTCAAAGTATCCCATAGCAATCATCCCAGAAAGGTTCATGAGAGACCCAGAAGTTCCTAAGCTGATTCTTTAAATTATATAGTTGTTTTTTTGATAGGCTTACTGATGGCACATACCCCTAGTGGAGCAAAACTTATTTCCATGCTGCAGCCGCACCCAGGTACGAGCACGAGCCAATGACATCATAGCGCAGGTGATGGCCTGGTCCATGGGCATAGCTCTTTCCGGTGTGTTTCCTGAGACAGGATTCCATGGAGAAAGTTTCGCACCGTCAACTTACCGCTTTCGGTTGAAAGGTCAGCAAATAGCCAACAATTGGAAGAAAATTGGTATCGATGGTAAATCAATTTTGTTTCTGTTTGAGGTATGAACCTTTCTAGTATGTAAAGGGCTGATAGCTCACTTTGTTTTTGCTGATCAAATCCAGTCCAAGGGGATGCTATTTCGCTATGAAGTCAGATCTGAAAGCACGAGCTCAACTTCATCAGTTTCAAAGGCATTACAATTGCAATTTGATTTTGGGCTCAGAATCAGTAAATACTTTCTTTTGGTGAAGGGAGTCTTATCTCAATCCTAACATCCCGAAATGAGTGGCTAACACATGTATAGACTACATCCACGAATCTTAGCCCAGCTTGCATGCCTAGGATGTGCGACCGATGCTTAGCTCGAACTGGTGTTGGCTGCCCAGATGAGATGAACTACCGCAACTTCTCTGAGACCAAGGCGTGGGATCTCACACTCATTGATCACAGCGGCTACCTAGTCCGGGAGAGGTTGTCTTTGACCCCGTGGTTATGCATGGATGGCTTCCGGGTGGAGAGCATGAGTTTTGACTGGATGCACAATGTGTACTTGGGAACTGGTCGTGATCTTTTTGCCAGTGGAGTGAGAACACTGGTTGAAAGGGGGGTCTACAGCTACACTGGCTTGACAGATTTGGATGACATTCTGGGTCATGTTGAACAACGCATCCATGAAAAGTGCAAAGTTCACAAGATTCTCATCTGTTGATTTTGGAAAATTGTAAAAACATTTTCCACGAACATGTTTGTTCATGTCTCAGCGAGGTGAGTTACAAGACCCCACAATACAGATCTTCAAGTGATTTTTTGTTCAATATGGATTTGAAACCATATCCATGAAAGAATGCCTGAGGCTCTCGTTGCCGAAAAAACCGCATCTTTGTCTCCAAACACTGGGAGGGGATGAAGACTACGCAGAGTTGTCCACCAAGTTCAAAGCTGCCCACGTCAAGATTCTACTGTGGTGGTTGGCCAGGGAGTCACAGCGTTGGGCAGATAGTCACCCAGACGTACCTTGCTAAAACATATTTATGTTGATAGATTACCCAACTGTCCCATGCCTGATGGCAACAAATGAGAAACCTTGCAGTGAGTTTAGGGATGTTTAGGGTAATTTTGATTTTCAAGTTACTTTTAATTTCACTGTTATTTGTTTAAAACATATGAACCCAAAACTTGGGCCTTTTCCCCCAACTTGTAACTCTTAAATGTGGGCATCCCAGGATGAAGTCCTGAACATGTTGGCCGTTACTACCTACAACCTCCACAGAACAATCGAAATTTTTGACCGAGGGGGCCTTGTTCTCACACATGATGAAGCGAAGGAAGCTTCCCATTGCCTCACAACGCACTTGACAGCATATGCTTGGATGGCAGACCACTACTACCAGCGACGTGTAATGTGGTATAAAATTCGATGCAAAGGCCACTACCTGTGGCATGTAGCATGGGAGGTGTCTAAATATAGGTTAAACCAAAACCTGTTTCACACCTTCCAAGAAGAATCTTTCTTAGGAAAAATAAAAGCTGTAGCTACTATGTGTCATGGTCGCTCATGGTTTGGGAGGGTATACCAAAGGTATTTTCTAGCCCTCGCAGTTTTTCTCCACGAGTACAAGATGATGGAGCTGAGTGTGGACTGTTGAATATTGTTTTGACCACCACCAGATATCACACATTAATCTTTCAAAAGTGTTGGAGCTGTTGTCCAAATGTTCCTGCAGCTCTAGCTTGGGGGTGGCCAAGACATTTGGGGGAGTGGCTCGGAAAACAGAACCGGCCTGCAGACCGCGGAAACATCGCAGGGTAGGCTGCAAGATTTTGCAAGTTACTGATTTTGTATGACCTTTGATGTGGAAACTGGTTGTGAACAATTCTTACACAGTGGAAATGTTTGACCCCTGAAAAAAAACAATGCCTGTTCTTAATGGCCAATCTTTGGGATCCCACAGGTAGCCCTTCAAAATAGTATCATTCAGATTGAGATCCAAATCCTAGTGACTTACCAAAGGTTCTGAATGAGCTGCGGCGAACGGTCAGAAATTGAGACCAGTTCCCCAAACAAGTGGTTTGGTACTATCGGGTTTTCAAGATGAACGTATGGGGGTATGAAACATAGCCTGGTGATTTTACGGGAACATTGGGAAATCACATGTTAAATCCAAGTAACCGACTTGGTTGCAACAGTTGACCACCCAAAAACGGCGTATCTAAATGTAATTGTGTCATAAAGGGCCACGGTTTTTTGGGGGGATACAGGTTACCCTTTTTTTTGGGAAATCGCACTGGGAGTTTGGTATTTTGCTTTGTTGGCTACTTGGAATTGCAGCCACTGCATGGTTTCTCACCCGGAACCCGGCACCATGGGAACATATCTATATATATATATATACACATACATAAGGTATATAACCCATGTATCAAAACATACATATATAGTGTGTATATATATATAGGAACAATACAAACCAATAAGTTGCCAATAAAGAACAGTAGTGCTCGATACACTTCAAATTTGGTACCAGTGCCCAGGTGGTAACTCGGCCAACTGTTTCTTATAATCCATGTGGGTTTATCTTGACATATGAACCCCCAAAATCACGTCGGTTACTATCATTTTCACCCGTAATATGGTTATTTGGGAAATACCACATTTCTAATTATTATAAATAAATAAATAAATAAATATATATATATATATATATTTCATACATATAAATATATATATATATATATAAAAACATATATATTATATATATATTATTATATATATATATGTTTATATATATAATATATTATATATATTTATATATAATTATATATATATATACATAAACAAACCGCCCAAACAAGGGGTGTCTCGTACAGACACACCGGAAGCTCGGCACCATGGTTGCAACCGTTGGTTGCTTGCAAGCTCAGCTAGCGAATGGTTTGTTCTTAACCTATGTTTTATATATCTCTATGGATAGGGTTGATTGGCCTGATGATAACCCTTCATATGGTTATTTGATAAAAGAATCTGTTGTTTTACTGGGCTGAACTGATCACAAAAATTTGGGTGAATTAACCATTTTCCTCTGCCCTATAAAAAGGCTATATCGGTTGGTGTCTTGTATCGGCGTGGTAAGGCGCAGCTTCGTGATGAAACCACACTGTGAGAACAACAGGAGAACATCCTGAGAAAGTGCAAAGTGCCATTCCCACCTGTGCCACTGTGAGAACAATCATGGTTTGTTTTGCTTCCTGCCCGCCCACCCTGTGCAAGCATGGTTCTTGTCAAAGCATGATTGGCCACAAACGCAAATGGGAGTGCAAAGCAGAAGTGCAAGCTGCAAAGTGCCATTCCCACCATCAGGTTTGAACCTGAAGTGTAATCCCTTCCACCCCCCCTGTCCGTCCCTTTGCAGCAAACTTGTGATAGCACCAAGCGCAAACGGGACCGCAGCGCGCAAACGCCATGAGAACGCAAACGGGGAGAGCCAAGTTCCATCCCCCCACACATCCCACCACAATGTGAAAACAGTATGTGATTGACTTCTTCAAGTTCTGTCAAAATCTTTCTTTAAAAAGTTTTTTTTGTTTCTGTATCTCCATCGAGCGCAAACGAGACCCCAGGCGCAAACGGGACTGCAGCGCGCAAACGCCATGAGAACGCAAACGGGGAGAGCCAAGTTCCATCCCCCCACACATCCCACCACAATGTGAAAACAGTATGTGATTGACTTCTTCAAGTTCTGTCAAAATCTTTCTTTAAAAAGTATTTTTTTGTTTCTGTATCTCTATCGAGCGCAAACGAGACCCCAGGCGCAAACGCCATATGAGAGCGCAAACGGGGAGAGGCAAGTGCCATCCCCACTCATCCCACCAAACACTATGTGCTTGACTTCTTCTTCTGTCAGCATCTTTCTTTTAAAAATGTATTTTTGTTTTTCTGTATTCCTAATGAGCGCAAACGGGACCGCAGCGCGCAAACGCCATGAAAACGCAAACGGAGAGAGCCAAGTGCCATTCCCACCCATCCCGCCATAATGTGCAAACGTGATGTGCTTCACTTCTTCAAATTCTGTCAACATCTTTCTTTTGAAAACATATTTTTGTTTTTCTGTATTCGCAAACGGGATCGCAGCGCGCAAACGCCATTAGAACGCAAACGGAGCGAGCCAAGTGCCATGCACCCATCCCAGCATCGCGTGCAAAAATGATGTGCTTCACTTCTTTAAGCTCTGTCAGCATCTTTCTTTTTGAAAAAATATTTTTGTTTTTCTGTGCTCCCAGTGAACGCAAATGGGACCGCAGAGCGCAAACGGGACCGCAGCGCGCAAACGCCATGAGAACGCAAACGGAGAGAGCCAAGTGCCATTCCCACCCATCCCACCATCATGTGCAAACATGGCGTGCTTCACTTCTTCAAGTTCTGTCAACATCTTTCTTTTGAAAACATATTTTTGTTTTTCTGTATTCCCAATGAACGCAAACGGGACTGCAGAGCGCAAACGGGACCGCAGCGCGCAAACGCCATGAGAACGCAAACGGGGAGAGCCAAGTGCCATTCCCATGCATCCTACCCCCGGTGCAGACTTGGTTTACTATTGTGTTTGCATCAGGTTGTATGTATATATCCGAAGCCTGCGACATTGTCGCATGCAAATGACAACGTTTTGGCAAACTCTTGCCGTTTGCGTTGAACCATGTTGAAATAGCATCGTTGGAGTGTCTAGGTAGCACAAACGGATGTTGCCACCGACTTGATTGGGTGACTGCGGATATTCTCGGAATCACGAGACATTTCAGCTTTCAATTGTTCATCACATGCAAGCGGCTTCCAACGTTTCATCACTTTGACGTTCACAAATGGACTATTCCTGATTACATGGTCATTGATTCCATTCATGATTATCTTGGCTATCCACTTGGTGTAAACTTGAGTGATGCGAGTTTCCCTACCGGCACACTCAGCATGGTCATGACGGCGATCACATCTTCTATGAAGCTTTGGAAAAGACACCCCCCATGTAACAATCTTCCATGGTTTCTTGATTGGTTTGGGAGTCTCTTGGAATTGTGATTTCAAGCCATACATGCATCCATCAAACTTGTGCTCATGAGATACGGTTCCTTCCACAAGGTCAGTCATTCTACGGTCCTTCCAATAGTCACAACCCCTAGGCAACTCAAGCAAGGCTGGTGATCCCATGTTGATAAGTTCACTTAGCACTGATGTAAACACTTCCCACATCGCCCAGAAGATCTGCTTCTTTGCTTCGATGAGTTGTGTCGTTGCTTCGCTTACCCATCGATTGATTCGGTTCCATGGTGAACCTCCTGTACATGGACCTGCAAAGAACACTGAATCAAGTTTGGTCCGAAGGCATCGCCTTGCTTTACTGATTCCGTACGGAGAGAGCATGTCGTCATCTTCAGTGATTGGTACGACATGAAACTTCATTTCGTCCTTCATTTTGTTCTGCAAGAACGTAAACCAGTTTCTCTCTTCCGAACATAACAAGACGAAGCATGGGACTGCTTGAGGAACTTCGATCAAATTGATTGCAAGGGAAAACTTCGCATACTTTGATGTCATCAAGTCACAAGGTGATTTGGAAAATTGAAATTCCAAAGTTCTGTTTTTCTTTTCTCTCCAAAGGATTACCGACACTTTGGGATGGTCAACCTCATGTTTGCCTACTTCAATGTGATATTGATAGGGGACAAAAACATCAGTGATGGGAATAGTATTCACGTCATTGCAATTGGTGCAGAGTGTGATTACTCCCTGACTCACTTTACAGTTCTTACCTCCATTGATCACTTCAGCATTGGCGAGCACCTTGAATGTCGATTTTCCTGTCCAAAATTCATTCAACTTGTTCGTTGATTCATGGTTGTCGCCCTTGAATCTCCATGTGTCTTTGATCACTCGAGTGTTGGTTTTGAACTTTTGTTCAGTTTCCCTTTCATCACATATGATCCTAGGGTCACAGGGACAGTCTTCGCAATCCTGTGGCACAAAGTTTTGCCTTCTTGGCGTTTTGTGAATTCGGATCAATGTCTCTTTCCCATCCCACTGCCAATGGTCTTCATTTTTCTTACCTAACACTTGGGATTTTCGGGTGGATTTTACAAACGGAATATTATCATTGATGTCCAATTCCGGATGCTTATGACATAGGCCAGGTGTTGAAGTGGACTGTAGGTGCCCCTTGTCACTGTGCGAATGCCATCCTTCACCCTCACTCCCCCCATGAACAAGGCGCATAAGCGTATTGATCACACGTGTGGCTGGCTGAAGGCACTGGTGAATGGATTTCGGGTGTTGAGACGGTGATGTCTGTGCATCTAAAAACAAGGCATCAACCGAGAACATCAGCATTGGTGAATCGGTCGGATGCTGTACACGGTCATGTGGTGTTGACGCACACGAGTCACGTAGTGAGCTCGAGTGGGCAGGCGGGGCATGCACGTGCTTTGACGACATCACCCGGTGGGTTGAGGTCGTTGAAACGGATTGTGAAACAGTGTCCGGGATCAACGGCTGCTTGTTGGGCGAATGATACTGAAAACACGCTCGTTCAACCCACTTATCAAATCTGATAGCCTGCTCTGGTGGAGATGCACGGTGTTCGACCTTTGTCCACGCACCATTGAGAAGAACCCATGTGGATCTCAATACATCTGGCGGCACGATCAAGCCTGGTGGCTTAGGACGATAAAACACCGGTTGCTTGACGACAAAAATGGGATCCATACCTGGCAAGTACTGTAGCTTTTCTTTACTAGTCAAACCCTTCCTATACACTTCTTTCGGCAAAATAGGGGTTTCTGTGTATGGGAAGTTTGGGATGTCCTCAGTTTTGGATTGGAAAACTTGGCGAGTAGTCATATCGACATCGGTGCTTGGCTGCAACATGTCCAATACTTCTTTGCTCTGCAAGTCCTGAGGTTCCAACAAGTTGATTAGCATACAAGCTTTCTTCCATGCCATGGGATTCTTGAACCCTTTAGTATGGATATCTGCTGCCATTTTGGCTGTAATTTCATAGATCAATACAAAATGATCCTTTTGGAAATGTTCATGCATGGAGGCAATGGAAATACCATGTGTGCGCTCCAAATGACGCATGGTTGGATTCCGTCCTGATCTGACAACACCAATCATACCTTGATTATCGTCATGAAACAGGAGTTGAGGAAAAACTTTGGCTAAGACTTTCCACAGACTTAGTGCGGGGATTCCTAGAGTCCTAAGTGCAGTATCTGCAGCCACAATTTCAGCTTCGGGGGTTGAATGACTAACACACCCTTGTCGCTTACTTCCACCAGCAGGTGGGAATCTTGTGAACTTACCTTGGACTTGTAAGTGCGATCCTGAAGTTGATCTCAAGGATTGGGCACATCCAGCGAAATCCGCATCTGCAAATAGTCCTCATGATAAATCTTCAATTTTGTCTCCGACCCATCCTATCATTTTGAGGGACAATGTGGAATTAACATAACACATTAGGTGATGAAGACGGGCGTCATCATCCTTTGTCCATTTGGTCACATTACGTGCCAATGCATTGATGGATCTCAAAAAGTCAAACCGCGCAATGCGGGCTGCATACAGCAGCTTCATAAGCACACTAGCTGCATGCGGAGCTAGATTCCCTCGGCTCAGTGTCTCACTGTCTTGGCCAGGACGTGAGTTGCCAGTCTCGGAGAGAGCAGGCATATCTGGATCGAAGGAATGTGCACACCAAGGACACTCAACTTTGCGTTTTCCATCGGAAGGAGCTCGATACGGGCTGCTTTTCGTTTCCTCTGGAAGGCTTGGAGTTGATACCTTTTTCAATTTTGTGTCCTTACCAATGATGTCAAGATACTTTTCCACCGATAACTTTAACAATCCTTCCATGTTATAAGTTATGGTCTTGACTTTCTTACCATTATGCAATTGGGTCTCACCTTGGGATAAAACACATCCTAAGTAAAGTCCCAAGTCGGTTTCGGGTTCAATGCGCAAACAGTGCGCAGCATTTCCCAACCTTTGGCCAGATTTTCGGAGGGCCCAGCAAGCTTAAGATCATCCACATAGATTACCAACAGCAATTTGAGCTCATCATGAAAATACATAGAAGGCCATTCCTCTCCAATGGGTTTAAAACCAATTTCTTGAACTTTCTTATCACAATGTTGTTCCCACATCGTGCCTGAATCGGGATGTCCATACAGGGCTTTGTCGAGTCTTACGACAGGGCGACGAAACTTCCAGTACTGTATCTCAGGAGGCCATGCATCAGTGGGTAACTCCACCCAACACAAAGGTCCCTTCAACTTGGCCTGGATGTATGCCTGAATCGCATCTGCCAGCTTGACGGAGTGCCCAGGAAGACATCCGTAGAAATCGGCCCATCGTGAGGCTTCGAAGGAAGCAGGGGAATTTCCCAAGTCTTGGAAGAATGCTGCCTCCCAATGCTGATTCTTCACCTGATTTCCTAGCAGAACGCCTCTTCCCTTGAATTTTCGACCAGGATTGTCTTCGGACAACTGGTAATTCTTTTCCACGCATATGCCATGGACCCTGGCCATATGTACTTCCTTTTTATTCTTCTTGGCCTCTGCAACAACATCGTCATATTCACGAACCATTGTAAAGTCGAATACCTCTTGATCACGAAGGCCTTTCCACTCCTTGAGCATTGCCTCTTTGGCCTTTGGGTTAGACTCAATTTCAGCTCTGCCCACAGGTCGTGAAACCATTGCGTTGAAAAGTTTGCTTCCAAGGCCTCCTGATGGTATCTTGGTTCGGTGACTTTGATTGGATGCAGAAGTACACGGCATAGTTGGGAATGGAATGTATTCATCATCATCAGTGGCTATGTTCTTCACGTCCTTGACATTAACACATTTGCCATTCTTGATCATTGTCGACTCACCTGGCGTAGCCACGGAGAATCTTGAAATCTCACCTGACAATGTGCTCCAAACTTCACCACTCCACGATGCTTTTGGGCCACGTCCTTTCTCGACCTCCGACCATTCATCCCATTCAGTGAGGTATTCCTCGTCGTCCGGGACATCAGTAGAAGCATCGGAACATGGACTAGCATCAGCATTCCTCTTCACTTTTCGACAATCAATGTATCGTTTTCCATGGACATCGTCATCGTCGACTATGTCGTACAGATCAAGATACGTGCTTGTACATGTGATAGGTAAGGTAACTTTGTTCTTCACAACTTTACCAACACCTGCATCAGATTTCTCTGACTTTGAATGAGAGTCATCCTTCTTGCTTTCATCACCACCTTCATCGTCCTTGGACTTCGGCTCATCCTTGTCTTTCTTCGAATCTTTCTTCTCCTTCTTCATTGCTTTCTTCTTCTTTTCTTCGACCAATCTTTTGGCTTTGTCATCGGCCTCTTTCTTCTCCAACTTCTTCTTCTCGGCTTTGAGGATGGTGTTCCGGTCAGACTGAGAGAGTTTGCGCCATTCTTCAGGAGAATAGGTCCCTTTGGGGCGCAATGACGTTTTGAACATTCGTCTACCGTCATCTCCAATCTTGTATGGGTAACCCTTGACGTTCAACTTGACCTTCTCACCATCGTCATTGAGGTATATCTTCCCATCTCCAGCTTTGCCCGACTTCCAATGGCTTCGATAAGTTCCTGGAGAGTCATCTCTTCCGGATCTTTATCTTTGTCGAAGATACCCTCGGAGTCATCAAGAGGCTTCTTTGAAACTTTTCCACCACTTGGTCCAGGTCCACCGTCGTCTCCGTCATCAAGCTCATCATCATCTTCGTCATGGTCATGTTCTTCATCATCTCCATGAGGCACTTTGGAAGGATCGCCATCGAGGACTTCTCTCTCTTTCATTCCTTCCAGCGTGGTGTTCACCCTCTCATACTCTTGCTTGCATGGAAATGTCAATGGGGTGACCATCTCGACCTTCTCGGTCAAATGAGGTTTGAGAAGACGGTGTTCAGGTTTGCTAGCATCGTCACCAAGATTCTGATGTACGAATTCACTCAGAGGCCATACTTTGTATTGTCTTGACCAATGCATCCCTGGACCAATGTGATACCCTGCAAACACTCCTGGAATAGAGTCAGGTCCAAACTTATGAAGTTGTCCCGCTTCTCTGGTTTTCGGAGGCTTGTAGTTCACACGAGCACCATAGGGAATGAGTTTGCCAGCAAATTCAGATCCGTGGAGTTTGCACCAAGCGCTCAATTCATCATCGTTGGGCTCTACGTTGAGTAGATGACATACACAAAGGATTGCTGTTCTCCAGAAACAAGGTGGTAATCCAGCTTCCAAAAGACATGTAGAAGTAGCTGTGCGGATAAATTGGTTCGTCCTTTCGGCAATTGAATTGGTTTGAGGTCTCCCAGGCAACGAATGATCAATTGGTATCTTCATCTCGTTCATAGCTTCAATGAACTGAGGAGCATGATCAGAGTAGGCCTGTCTGACCTTCTTGGCGCCAATGAACTGTTTCACTGCTCTGACTACATCGTCTTTGGTCATTCGATCAGATGGATAGGCACCAATGATTCCTGTAAAACAGTCTCTGACAACCAACACTTCCTTCTCGAGGACCAATACGTCATCATGGACTTTGGATGTATCCACCGCATCAAAGGTAATGAGGTCGCCAAACTTCTTGAGTTCCCTTTTGTATGCCCCACGACGAGTCTTGAAGTGCTTCATCTTTGCTCGAATGCATGAGTCGCAATATGGATTCTTGTATCTGTGGGTCAATTTGTGATTCAAGCTATTGGCTTCTCTCTTGAGTGTTCCCCTTTTGGCTACCCTGGATTCACCCTCGACAACATCGATCTCAATGTCATCTTCATCACCTTCAGCGGCGTCTTCAGGAGCACCATGACCATCATCTTCGAAGTCAGTCTCTTCACCAGGAGGTCCGTCAAACGGAGTTCCAGGTTCATATTCGCCGTCTTCAGGTGGTTCTTCTTCTTCTCCAGGGGTTGCCGAATGTTTCTGCCGGTTCATTGCTCTTCTCTTCTTCTTATTCTTGAGCTTCTTGACGTATCGGGAACAATTGTGGTTCTCAGTCGATGTCTCAAGACCACTTTCTCCATCGAGGTGTACTCTTCGTGATGGTTGACCAACATCATCAATATCGTTGAGATCGTTGAATCCAACTTGAGAATGTGTCAATAGGTCATGGATCTTCGATGCATGATGGCATTCATGAGGAGTGCATTCGTATGTTCCAAGATCAACATAGGGGATGTTGTCATGGATTGTCAGATCTATGCGTTCTCCATCCTTCGTAATCATGAAAGGCATTTGACCAGATGGCCATACAAAGGAGTATCCTTCTTCCATGCATCGTTTCCCAAGAGACATCACAGACGGAGTGTCGTCCAGTACATAAGCATGAGATGTCACATCAAAGGTTCCCAGGTCAATCTCCGCTTCCGTCTGAGTAGCAGTTGAACCGTTGGCGGTGTGGAACATGATAGGATCACAAGTTCGTTGCTTCAAGTTCATCCTTTCGGCTTTCCTTGCGGAAATCAGATCGTGTCCGCTGCCAGAATCCAGGATGAATCTGCGATCTTTGGCTTGTACTGGCAATGAAATGCACATCATGTTCTTGGACTTCATGAGGGATTTTCCGACTTCGTGTTCAACAAGCTCTTCAATAAAAGTCATGTCATCACGATCATCGTCCAGCTTGATCAACATGTCGAACTTGGGGCCAATGATGATTCTAACTTCATCAACAAAACGATGAGGTCCGCATCTATCCATGATGATAGCTTTGGCCCGTGCTCGGACTGAACCGAGGGTGTTGTCGGACTTGGACTGATCGTCGGTCAAATCATCGACTTTCCAGAAGACATACTGCTTGTTGGGGTCACGATACATACGCTTGGGTAATCCCTCTTGGTAATTCTCAATGGCAATCTCGTGCACTTCAGGTTCCAGTTCAAAAGAGATCCTGCGATCATCAGAAGACTTCTTTGCGCTGGCTATCCTCGGTGAGGTATAATCCAAAGAATCTTCATTGTCGCTATCAAAGAAGGAGTCAATGGTAATGGGAGTTGCTTTCTTCTTTGGTGTCTTCTTGCTGGTCCTCTCTGATGATGCTGAAGGCGATTGATCCGCATGTAGGAATTTACATTTGCTCCCAAACGTGCAGGTACCCTTCTGCCAATTCCAACATATCTTCTTTTTGGGTCCAGCTGAAGACGAACTTCCTTTACTTTTCCCCCTTGATGAATCTCGACTTCCGCTTCTGCCTTTCTTACCTTTCATCTTGGCATCATAGACCTTCTGAGAATGACTGTAAAGACATTTGTCACCTTTGTTGCATCCTCCTTTATTGAAGAAGTAGTTGCAGAAAATCTTCTTCTTGTCAACGGGTGAAGATGATCTTCCCTTCCCACCTTTACCTTTCTTGTTGTTCTTGTCGGCATGAGATTTCGGAGAAGGTGTTGGAAGTACTGATGCAGCTTCACTCTTCGCCTTCGCTTTAGGTCGTTTGGGAGGATCACCTGTAGACGATGCAGCTGCTTCATTCTCCTTCTTGGTCTTAATGGGAGCAGCAGGTTTGTCAGCATCTTCCAGGGCAGGTGTCGTCTTGTTAGAAGACAATGACAGTTTCACTGCACGTTCTCTATCTTTCAACAGTCGTTCTTGCTTTCCTCGCGCTATGTATCCTTTGATCATGCCAGTTAGGGAAGCATAGGTCTTCTCAGGATGCCCTTCATCATAGGTTTTGTATCGGTTGATATCAAAAGCCATAAGCTTTGAATGTTCAATCTTCCGGAACAATGTGTCACGCAGGGAATTTGCAGAAGGCAGATCATCATGTTTCATGTTGTATATGATGTCAAGCCATTTGTTGTAGAAAGCCTCAAGTTGGTCATCTCCATAGTAGTTGAACATGTACAAATGATGGGCGTTGTAGAGAACTTCAGTGTGGTCAGGTGACTTGAAGCTAATCAATACCATTGCGAATAGTTCTCGTCCCTTGATGAAGTCCCCACTTCTCCCATACATTTGGTTCTTCATGGACATGTCATACTTCACTTGCATGGACTTGTCCCCAGCATTGTCAATGACTTTCCTCAAGGCATTGGAGAGCTTGGCATCAATGGATTGGAATCTCACATCGGGTGCTTTGGCCAGAGCTTCTAGGTCAGGTTGATCTGCAAGACACGGAGCTAGCCACGCTTTCCAATCTTCATAGTTTCGATCTCCACTTGCAACACAAACTTCATGAACAACACTCCCCTTCCAGGATGAAAGTTCAGTGGTTTTGGGCCAAGGTTGGAGACTGATCTTTTCGGCTTCTCTTAGAGATACGGATGACTTAGATCTATCCCTCTCAAGGTTCTCCAACTCCTTGACATTGGTGTTGTACTCGTTCCTGAGCTTCTCGAAGGCTTCAGCTTCTGCTCGGTATTCCTGCTCTTCATCGTTGGCGCGATCTTCAGCTTGAGAGAAATTGTTCTTGTAATAGTCTTTCCGATCTTCCATCTTCCTCAATTCATCTTGAAGATTTCGAACTTCAGCGTTCCTCTCTTGCTTCATCTCGTCCAACTCTGCTTTCAGTTTGGCACACTTCTCTTCACATTCATTCCGAGGCATAGCATTACTGGGGTACCCATGTAATGTAGTCGGTCTATTCAATGATGAAGAAGAATAAGCCTGGTTTTCCAACTTCAGGGCAGCAATGGTGCTCGACATCTCTTCTACCTCAGCGAAACGCTCACTAGCCAACTGATGCATCTCGGTCAAGTGGCTTTCAGGAATGGAATAGTCAGTCGCACCTTTGATCACGAGTCTTCTGTCGTTCAACATCTTGATGGACTTACCTGCATCCCTGTGAGCACGCTCAAGAGAATCCTTTTGGGCTTCAAGTTCAGTATGAAGGCGAGCAATAGCTGTATCCCTGTCATTGATTTCATTGTGCAAACTGTCGAACAAGTTACTCGTCACATTCGGATTGCTACGCTGCTACTCATGTGATCGATCTTGTTCAGAGCATCTTGATACTTCTTACCAGTTTCATCGAAATGTTGCTGGAAGGTTTTGAGCAGGTTCTCAGTGTCAATGAGTTCAGTTCTGTTTTGTAAGTACAACTTGTCAACTTCAGCCTTGGATTCCTTTAAGTTGTCACGCTCACGCACGGCTTGCATATACATCTCATATAGTGCTGCTCCATGCGGTGATCTGCTTGGCGAGGATCTTCTGGCTTGTTGACAGGAAAGTTCATGATACTGATTCTTCGATTGAGTCAGTTGTTGTTGCATTCGATCTAAAAGACTTTGTTTCATGTGTAGTTCCGAACGTAGTCCCATTATCCTCATGTCCCGCATGCCACTTGATTCAGCTAGAGATTCCTCAGAAGCCTTGCTCTCAGAAGTCGCTAGTCGAGATTGTAAGTTCTCATTGTGAATCACCTGCAATCGAAGTTGTGATTCTTCCAAAGCCAAATGATGTTCACATTCTGCATAACGGTCATGTTCAGATCTTAAGTTACTACGGAACTCCTTCATGATCTCGTCCCTCTTCATGTCAGCAGCATCGAGCTCAGTTTCCAGTCGTCTAACGTTCATGGCCATGGTGTGCTTCATTGTCTGGTTTTGATTGGCAACTTCGAGCATCTCGATCTGTAAAGCACATGTCTGGTCATTAGCGTAGCCGACCGCCAAAGCTTCTTGCTTTGCATTCATCTCTGCGTTCTCTAATTCCAGTCTGAGTTGATTGATGTGAGCATTCGCGTCAGCGCCCACATGTACCATAATTGCGTTCGCTTGTCCCATTTGTTCATCCAATTCCGAACGTAGTCGTGAATATTTGAATTCCAAATGAGATGCAGCTTCATTCGACATAGTCTGATACCTCTCCAACTCTTCGATCCTGTAGGTTGCACCTTCATCTTCTTGTTGTGCAGCCTGTAACTCGAAGTTCAGCATCTGGAGTTGTTCAGTCATCGACATCATCTCTTGATGAGTGGTGCTTTCCAGGAAGTTAAATTGTTGATAGGCATATGCTGTCGTCTCAGTCAATCTTGCCTGAAGTACGGATTCTTCTTCAGTAGCCTTTTCCAGTGATGTTTTGTATTCAGCTAATTCGCTCTGATAGGCAGTGAAGATGTCGCTACCACTCGACGGGGCGTTCACTTGCTGATAAGATCCTGTCCCTGATGGAGTAGCGTCCTGAATCGGTGAAGGCGGATTCGACGACGTAGTCTTTGCCTTAGTCCTTGGAGTCATCGGAGGCGACAATTGTCGTGCAGATGATCTTCTCTTTCCAGGTGTGCTGTCCCTATCTTCAATTGCTTGCATTGTCGAAACTTGTCTCCCTCTAGGAGCAACCAGAGGTCGCCTGGGTAGGCTCGTTCTCAGTTCTGAGGCATCGCTTCCACCAGTGTCGATGCTCTGTGAAGAATTTGACTGCGTGCCGGCAGCTGGTGCAACGGCATGTCCAGAGAAAGAAAATGCGTTATCACTGCTATCCTGTTCAGTCATCTGTAAGGCCCGCGGCTACCCGCTCGTAGGCTCCGTAGGAGTCCTACGGCTGATAACCTGTGAATCGGAGGTTATCTCCCCGATTATATGTTCTTGGCTGTTATAGAAGGTTGTTGATTTCCCTCACCAGTGATGACGAACGAACAACGGTTTCGGCATTGCTTCCTTTTCTGCGGAACTAGCAGCGTCTTGAGCCAAAGGAGCACATATATGCATCCCCTGGCCGTGGATGATTAAGGGCTATCTTACATGGGAGTGTGTTTGATTCCGTAGCCTACATCCCATTCGCATATATTATATATATTATATATATTATATATATTATATATATTATATATATTATATATATTATATATATTATATATATTATATATATTATATATATATTATATATATATTATATATATATATATTATATATTATATATATTATATATATTATATATATTATATATTATATATTATATATATATTATATAATATATATTATATATATTATATATATATATATTATATATATTATATATATATATGGGAAATGGACAGCAATGATAATAATGACACAATATAGGACATGGATAGCAATGATAGAAACACAAAATAAAAAGGCCCCATCAAAAAAAGTCATCGGAACAAACAGCCACTTCAAAAAGGGCAGTTCTCGGACACCACGCCATGAGTCCACTGAAGAGTCTGCTTTGCCTTGCTGCCGATAGTTCTTTTACTTAGCGCAAAATGTTTCAAACTAAACGAGCTTTCGGTAGATGAGTTTTCTGGAAACGATGGTGAAAAAAAACGATATATCGGCTCCCATGATCTCCCATGCAAAACACAAAACCATACTGTTGAAAGCACAGCACTGGCACCACACGGCAGGCCACCCAGGGTGCCAGCGGTCGAGCAGGAAGCTTTTGGAAGCTGGGAACCGAGCACCCAAAGAGCATGGAAGAGCTGGGATAAGGTAGGCCTTGGATAACGTCAGCCATGTTTAAACATGGAAGAAATCTGAAGAAATGAGGTCAAACACAAGTAGTAAAAGCCGAACAAAAGGAAGGGTAAATTTGTGGTTGGTTTCACTCTACCGTCTCTGTTTGAGAATGATTGAGAATGTGTCAAGGATCAACGCCGTAACGCCCCAATGTTAATAGACGCCTTTGAAGATTTGGGGTGTCTTTCTGCACAGCCAAGACACTCTTGTCGGTACACGATGACGCCACCAGAGCGAGCCTGACGGGAATGATCATGGTTCCATCCTGAATCAACCTCCACAAATCGCAAAAAAACAATAAAAAAAAACAGCAGAAAAGTTGTGGAACCATGTGGAACCCAACTTGACATGAACAGCATACATAGCATACAACAGCACATACACAAGCAAAAAGGATGTCAAGGCAAGCACCTGTAGTGACATTGGCGGAGCGGGCAGAACCAACAGCGTCAAGGTGCACAGTCTTGGTGGCAAGACAGCAAGACAATGAAAGCCTGGTACAACCAATATGGATCATGCTGTTGGATGTCTAGCAGTCTAGCAGTATGTTTTAATGGATTCCTGCAGTTCAAGTAACAGTTAGAAAAACCTCGAAGCACAGGCAGCATCTTTGATGATCTGAGGATGTAGCAACCACATCGCGAAGAAGAACACTAGCTTGACCAAGTTCGCCTCCACGTCTGGTCGACCCTGCCAGGCCACATGCTGCCGGCCAATCTGTACATTCTGAAACTTCGCCATCTGGATGATGATTGTGACGTTGATTGTGATGTTTGTGATGATGTTTGTGATGATGTTTGTGATGATGTTTGTGATGATGATGATGATGATGATGATGGTCATACGATCATGATCATGTTATTTTGGCAAAGAATCATGATCTAAATGGACTGCAACACGATGCCGCAATGCACAAAGAACGGTGACCCTCCTGGCCTCCTGCCGTTCAGCCCAGCGGTGTCCATCCTCCAAATCCAACAGTGAGATCCATCCTGCGGAACTTCCAAATGTTGGAAGGTCCAGGGTTTGCAGCTGGGCAAATGATGAACATCTACATCTGATTTCCTTGCCTGGTGGGTTGGCAATGCGCCCACGGATCCTGCGAAAGGAGGTGTCACAATGGGCACCGTCACAGGTTCCCCATTCTGGTGGTTTCCTAAAACTTGGGTACCCCAAATCATCCAAGTCATTAGACCATTTTAGATCATTTTAGTCATGGTGACTTGGGGGTAGCCCCCATTTTTAGGAGATTTAGGAAACCTTCGAACGTCAATTCAGCGTTTCAAATGGGCCGCACCTCGCTTCCCCTGGATTTCGGACAACTTCAACCACCTCCACCAAGTCGCCAGCCTGTCACACTGCAGTCGCAGCAACTGAAGTGATTTCGAATCGACTTGAAACATCTTGAAACACTTCATCATTGTCATGTTTTCAATGTTATCAATGTTTTGGAGTGAGAACTGCGCATCCCCAAGGGAGCCACACGCGCAATTCAAGGCCCTCCTCCCGATGACTTTGGCAGCCTTCAACTCCACCCTGATTTCCTTCGTGCCAAACATGTGCACCTGGCACCATAACAATGGCAAGCTGTCTGTGAATGCAGGCATATCAGGCATATATTCCTGGACATGTGGCATGCTCTCCTGCCATCATGTCTTTAAAATGATGTAAGAGTAGGGTGGTTGGCCAGCCCACTACATTGTCTGACGTCAGATATGTTTCACCAACCATGTCACATGAATACTCAGTACTAGTTCTAATGCAAATTATGCAGTGCCACCACCATGAATCCGCATCAAACTATGATATAAATGAACAATGTCTCAACATTGGCTTCCCCAAGACTTGCGATTTATCATATATTTATCATTTGTCCCATTGAAATGGCAATTCAAAATTCTATCTGCCATTTTTTGAGACAAACCCACAGGGGTGAAACCCCATGGCTGTGTCTCAAAATCTTCATGTTCAGCAAAAAAAACATGCACATGTTGCGCCATCACAACGTTTTCACCCAACCGTTCGACCCACAATCAAACCCTATTAATTGTCCCAGTACTTACGAGTACATTCCCATTATATCCCCTTGGTTGATTGGCATTGTCCCATCATTATTCCACTATATTCCGCTATTTCCTCATGACATCCCGATTATAGGTCCACACTCACCCCCCCATCAATCAAGCCGTTCCGGGCCGTAGGAACCACTGCAGCACGTCGCAGCACCGCGTAGATGCCCGGGCGGTCGTTGCCCAGATCTTCTTGGCCCTGTGGGTAGGTGGTAAACCATGGTGGGCATATGAATGGAGGTTTCCTAAAATGGGGGCACCCTGGGTACTCATCCAAGTCATTTGACATCATTAGACCAGTTTAGTATTGAAAGCTATATGGTTTTTGGGATTCTTTATTTTAGGAAACCCCCAAATGGAATCAAATGGATATAATAGGGATATGATCGGGGTGTAATGTGAATATAATGGGATAATTGATACGGTTTTGATTGGGGACAATCGAGCGGGGATGTGAAAAAAGTGCAACCCAATGGACTTCACTCACCTTAATAAGAAATAACCAGCAGAAATGAATCAGAAATGATAGAAATACGATGGTTCCCAGAAAAGACATGGGATCATATAACCAACAGAATTAGGGTTTTATATGGGTTTATTATTATATATGTTTTATTCATAATTTTAGCTGTCTCTTGGATGAAAAATCAACGATGAGGATTTCAACAAGACTGGTGAGACTGCCATGGCAATGACATGGCTGGTCAATGCTGGTCATTTACGTCATGACGTGCCATGCGCAAAAGACCTTGTAGGTGGGCTATGGTCACCCAACCATTCACTAGGAAGTCATTGTAGCGGCTGAACAGGAGATCAGATATCTAAGATTATCTAAGCAGGGCCCATTTGGAAATCATCTACATGTTCAAAGATGGTGGTCTAAACAACCCAAACTCTGGCAATTCGACCTTCAACGAAGATGGCGAAGTGGCATCTGGGCCGTCGCCTCCAAATGATAACATACGAGGAATGCTCGGCTGATGTTGAAATGGGGGCACTCCGTTTCGGAAACCCAAAGTTTCCCTCGGGAGTTTCAGAAAATACGAGAAAATCATGATCAACTGGTGGATTTGGGAGTATCCTTTTTTCAGGACAGACTCAGTTTCTAGCAACAAAAACAAACAGCATTTTTACTGGTTGGTGGTTTCAACCCATCTGAAAAATATTAGTCAGTTGGGATGATTAGTCCCAATATATGGAAAAATAAAAAATGTTCCAAACCACCAACCAGTTTATATTTTTGACCATGTGAAACACCAGTTGTTTGACCGGTGGTGAAACATGGTGAAACCTTCGAAGACCACCCTTCCCCCATCGCATCCTGGAGTTTCGACGCTTTCTTCCAAGGCCTGGTCAAAATCATCGGGGTCTATGGATCTGCTGAGCTCTAAAGAGGCCCTGGTTCTCACAGAAGGTCCTATCTGTCCAACGAAATGGAGATTTTTCAAAAAACATGGCTATCCAAACATGGACGGTTTATAGTGGAAAATCCATAAATGGACGATTCGGTGTTTACCCGCCATATTAGGACACCTCCAAAGCAACCTTTGGCATTGTCAAGGGTCTGTTACCACTGTTGCTTTCATATGTTTCATGAGCGCCTCTGCATGTTCTATCTCCAGGACTTGTGCCACAAAGACCGACACAAAGCCTCAGTCGGACCATCTCCACAGCTTCGGCAACATAATTAACATACAAAACATGTAGGAAACATATATAATCTTCATTGGAACATATTGGAGCCACATATTAATTAATTACATTGAGACGAATTGAGATGCTTTTTGTTAAGATGATCCCTTAATAAGATTTAATAAGCACAATATATGGAGTTTCTGTCCCAGAGGATCCATGTATGGAATCTATTTACCTACATTGACCCAAGTATGTAATTTAAAATAATCCCTAGGTAAATATTCCAGCACCATGGATCCTCTGGGATGGTTAATACAGCCAAGAAACAGTAGAAAAAGAAGGACTTGAAGCCGCTGCACAAGGTACATTCGTAGCCTGAGCCATGTCCTCCGGCGGCAAAACCTGCGGCTTTGGATTTTTTTTTGGCTTTTATGAAATAGCCAGGTTTTAATAACAGGTCCTTAGATGGGAGGCAAACCATGTGGAAAATCATCTATTATAGTTATATTATGTTATATATGATCATCATCTTCAAATGTATTGTAGATTTTTTCTGTAATTATATTAATGCCTGTCTAATGGAACCAGCTTCTCAAATTGTTTTGACTTCCGCTCAGCTTCGAGACGCTTAGATGAAAAAACTGAGACGAGTGCAACCCCAAGAGGCACCTGTATTCAGGTACGCCAAAATGAGCATCACCAGGAAAATGTCAGACATCCTCAATTTTTCTCAAGCCATAAACGACTCTGGGTCTAAAATGTTCTACCCTCTGGTAAACTAACATAGCTATTGAAAATGGCCATTTATAGTGGATTTACCCAGTAAACATGGTGATTTTCCATGGCTATGTTAAATAACCAGAGGGTAAATCTAAATACATCCTGTCACGTCACAGGCAGTATGGTCGTCTTCATTTCAAGCTGAGCGCCGACCATACTTCGAAATAAGACCAAGGCCCAGGCTGATACGGAGACAACGCCTGGTGATCAAATGAAAGGGTCAGATTGGTACTTTGGTAAAACAAAACCATAAACTATCCCCAAATTTACTATGAAAGGGATTGAAAGGGTGGTAAAAACCAGGGGGTTGTTATTAGGTCTACCACATTATACAATTTCCCGTGAATTTCTCTGAGAGCCCTGGCGCAAAGTAGCTCACAAAACCTGGGAAGGTTGAACAGTGACCCATCCAGGAAAAGCACACTACGTCAAGCGTTAAATCTTTGACAATCTTTGTGTTTCTGAACCGATGCTCAAACGCCAAAACTATATCGCCTGTATCGGTATCTGCCTGAATGTTTAATTACCCAACATTCCGTGGCGTATCATCACTGTGTTGCAACACTAGGCCTGTGGCTTCACATGTTGCTCTCGTGTGACTGAGGATGGTGGATGCATCACCAAGAAGGTAGTGGCCTCAAGACGTTTCCAGATCAGCCAGGCAGTACTGACAGGCCCATGGCAGCCCACTGAGGCATGCTGAGGCATGCTGAGGCAGCTACAAATTTGAATAGAGGAATGATGACAGAGAAAACCAGCACCTGATGTCCGTTGAGTGGAAGTCAAGCAACTGATCATGTGTTGATCTACGTAGAATCTATACATCGTATGTCCCTCTGGTTCTGGGCTCCATACCATCAAAGAAGCCAAAGGCATGCCCACTTTTCCGAGGTACACTATCAACTGCAAGTTGGACCTTGGTAAATTGTAGTTACAGTACCAACACCAAATGCAACAAAGTTGCTGCAGCATATGGATCAAGTCTGCCAATCTGACGAACCGCTAAGGGAGGTTGGTATAGGTTCAAAATCGAGATGTATCGAAATGATCAATTTCCTCTCACTGTTTCTTCTGTCCATTCCCATCCATTCCCCATTCGGTTCCCTGACCGCTCTACTGCCTTGCCCGTCGCCAAAACATCCTCAGTGATTGGCCAACCACTTGGTACTCGGGTCATCAAGCATGTGACAGAGATTGCCATGTCAGTATATGATAGTATATGTCCGTCATACTTTCAAAGTTGCTATGTAACATTATATATCTGCTGAAATAGTTTGCCCAAACGTCAGCCATTTGGAAGAAACTTCAAGGACGCTTCAGGGTTCAAGGTTTCATGTCCCCATGAATTCCTTTCTTCATCGACTTCACCCTACCAGACACTTCGCCCTTTCACAACGCGCTTCCGCGTACGACGCACGACTGAGGCGATGCACCGGCGGGGGGATGAGAAACAACGCGCGGGGGATACCCATGTAGTAGGAGATGCCGCAGACAATCACTCCAAGCCATTGCCAGC